ACACTCTTCACACCTCACAATTCACACACTCTCACCACTCTCACACACTCACACACTCACTCACACACCACACTCTTCACACTCTCTCACACACTCACACACACACTCACACACTTCTCTCACACACGCTGTCACACACTCACACCACTCACACTCACACACTCTCTCACACACTCTCACACACTCTCACACTCACATCACACACTCTCTCACACACTCTCACACTCACACTCACACTCACACGCTCTCACACACTCTCTCACACACTCACACACTCTCACACACTCACACTCACACACACTCCACACACTCTCACACACTCACACTCACACACACTACACACTCACACACACACTCTCACACTCACACACACTCACACCACACACTTCACACACCACTCTCTCTCACACTCACACACTCTCTCACACACACTCACACATGCTGTCACACACTCACACAACACTCCACACTCACACTCACACACTCTCACCACACACACTCACACACTCTCACCACACACACTCACACACTCTCTCACACACACGCTCTCACACTCTCACCACACTCTCTCACACACGCTCTCACACACTCCACTCACACCCACACTCACACTCACACACACTCTCACACTCACACACACTCACACACTCTCACCACACTCACACTCACACACACTCACACTCACACACACTCACACACACTCTCTCACACTCACACACTCACACACTCACACACGCTGTCTCACACCATCACACTTCCACCACTCACACACACTCTCTCACACACCTCTCACACACTCACACACACTCACACACTCACAACACATCACACACTCTCACACTCACACACTCACACCACACTCACCCACACACACACACACAAAGCACTGCTCTGAGTTGACAAGTAAGGTACAAGACCAGCATTGGTGATACTTCCCTTTGAGATTTGGCTTTCCTCATTCTTTGGCATGAATGGCTCAAACTCAGAGCCTTTCCCATGTTAGGCAAACGTTCTACCACTGACCTACATCCTCAGCCCTTTATTTATTCTTTGTGTTTGATTGGATTCTAAGAACAAAGCTTGGAAGAGGCAGAGACCCGAGTTCTGAATGGAGGCAGAGCCCCTGGAAGGTAAGTCTGAAAAAGGTAGAGTTGAGGAGACCACCAATTATGAAGGTCAGAAGCCCCTCTAGTTTCTGCTAGACTTGGACTCCAAATGCCATAGGTATTGGCAAAGCAAAATTTCACCTGCCCCAAGGATTTGGTGGGAACTCCAGGAGAGAGCTGAATGATCTGTTTGACTCAGTCACTCTGCTGAGGCCACTGGAGTAAGGTAATGCTCCAAATTGCACAACTGAAATGCAAAACAAACAAAAACCCGCGTGGGCATGAACAGTGAAATGCAGGCAGACATGGAAGGTCTTCCTTACTACCCTCCACTTGGGATTTCTTGAAGTAGAGATTATTAAAATAATGTGAAAAGTAATAAATGATTTCAAAACCCCAGTTACTGCTTGCCACTTGCCTCAGTTACCTATTCCTAAGCAAGCCAGAATTTGAGAGAAGTCTCATAGCACAGAAATCTCATAGGCGGTGACCTCCTGAGATGGACCTTTGTCTGTCACGGCGACAAATCACTCTTTCTATTGCGGCAAAAACTAGCACAGTTTCATATATGTTTGCTATTAGCAGGTGCTAACAAGTAGGCTAGCTCCTTTATTTTTGCCAGTCCTATACATATAACTATACACTTAGCACTTGGTCCTTCTGTTTCTCAAGGTGAACTAGTCACAGAGTAGCTAGTAAGTATCTATGCAGGCACCTAAACAATAACACGTTTTTCAGTATAGCCAAGACATCCCCCTTCCCTGTGGCCAACACAATTCAGTAACCCTGCTCTCAGAGCATTCCCTGAGCATGGACTGCTGAGAGCCTTTGTTACTTTTTCTCCCTCCCTTCCTTCCTCCCTCCCTCCCTCCTTCCTTCTTCCTCCCTCCTTCTCCCTCCTTCCTTCCTTCCTCCCTCCCTTCCTTCCTCCCTCCCTCCCTCCTTCCTTCCTTCCTCCCTTCCTTCCTTCCTCCCTCCTTCCTTCCTTTCTTCCTCCCTCCCTCCCTTCCTTCCTTCCTTCCAGTAAAGGACTCTGCTTAGTCAATCCTACTAAGCCTCATGGTGGGGCAACCATCCCCTGATTCTTTGTGATGCTCACACAGGTAACAATAAAACTAGTTAGTAAAATCAAGCAGACCGCTTCAGCCGCCAGAGTCCAGACGTGCACTCTCTACCGTCCTAGCTGTCCTGTGAACTTCCCTTGGCACTTTCTCTTCAGCCCATTCTGAGATCTGAGCTCTGAGATGAGTTATATTTCTTTTGCCAGAGATAAGAGAGGCGTCTCCAATACCATGTGACCCAAAAGAGCCCCCGGAAGTAACCAGCACACCTGTAAACAAGAAAGGTAAGGGTTTCTCTCCCCCTAAAGAGGTCACTGGCATGAACTTGGTTCTGCTTTCTGTTGTCCCAGTCATACCCTGTTACTAGCAGTCACTATGTGGCTGTAGTCATGTGCCCAGCCTGGTTTGTGTCTGTAATTCCTATTCATTGCCCTTCTTCAAAGGCCTGTATGAAAAGTGTAGGAGCCAGGCGTGGTGGTGCACACCTGTCATCCCAGCACTTGGGAGGCTGAGGCAGGAGGATTTCGAATTTGAGACCAGCCTGGGCTACATAGCAAGACCCTGTCTCAAAATCCTGTAAAATTACAGGAAACAAGAAGGCATTTGACACCTTGAAATAAGCATCTCTTGGAATCATCTGTTCTGAAATTATCAGACTCGTATATCCTCAGCTGCTAGCGTGTCAGTTACCCCGACCTCTTTAACCAAAAGGGGGACTCCTGAGAGGATGGCCAGGTCTCCTCTGCCATCCATCACTCACGTCTCAGGGTGGCAGGCAGAATGGAAGTCCACCACTGCTATTTACTGTTCCACCCATGCTCCTGATCCCCCACCCTCTCTTTTGAGGCTGTCATTCATCAGCTTCCCCATCACTTCTGACAGACACACAGACCTCAGGGACTGTTTTTCTCCCACCTGAGGTCCTGCCATCATCCCAGATGCTGTCAAGGTCCATGTGGACAAGACAACATTTCCAGTATGCTGGCCTCTCAGTCCTTCATCTGCTCATCTCCATTTCTTGGCCTTCAATGCCCAAAGGCACTTGGTAGACTTTACCATCATTCAAACCTAGCTCACTTTCCCAGTAATTCATTTAAGAATCCCCTTTTTTGACACTTGTCCTTGAAGTTTGCTTCTTCTACAGCTACCTTTGATCTCTCCTTCTCACCCCAATCCTAAAATAAGAAAAATAATAATTTAAAAATATCCAGCAAGACACAGTGGCTCACACCTGTAATCCCAGCTACTTGGGAAGGTCATAGTTCAAGACCAGCAATGGCAAAAAGTTAACACGATGCCATCTCAACAAACAAGCCAGGAAGAGTGGCACCTACGGAGGCATAGGTAGAAGCTCATGATTGAAGGCTGGCCCTAGGCAAAAAAAAAAGTGAGACCCTATCTGAAAAATAACCTAAAGCAAAAGGGCTTGGGAGTGACTCATCTGGTAAAGCACTTGCCTAACAAGTGTGAGGCCCTGGGTTCAAACCCCGATACCTCCCCAAAATACCCTCCTCTTTTTCTTCCTTATAATTTTTTTTCTCTGCAGCTGTCCTTCTACTCGTTTGACTCTATCCACTGGCCTTTCCCTCCCCCAATCCTTCTTCTGCCTTTTTTCACACCCCTGTTTACCAGCCTGGAATCTATGTTATCATGTTGGTAACCTGTTGCCCTCCTCTTCACCTGCCTTCCCTCTCTTCTTTTCGTGAGCTGTCTGGATCTTGGAGGAATCCGCTCATCTGCTTTCTTCACAGTGCATGTGAAAGCAGGTTCTGCTAAAAATCACACAGCTGGCCACAGGGCACCTTCTGCATTTTCATAATGCCTGTGTAAAGGATCCCTTCACACTGCATGACCATTCTACTTCCTGTGATGATCCTGTCAAACTTGAGTGCTCTCTTCCCCCTCTTCCCCTGCCATAGCTTCACAGTTTTTCTTCTTCCCCTATTGCTCCATGAAACAGGATCCTAGGGTCACCAGTGACCTCCTGGCCACTGTGGTTTGAAGAGTGGAAGTAAAAGCTGAATATCTATGCACATGTGAATAATAAAAGAAAAATGAAAATAAATAAATAAATAAATTTTTTATTATTCATTTATTCACATGTGCATACATTGTTTGGGTCGTTTCTCCCCTCTCTCCCTGCCTCGCTTCCAGGCAGAACCTGTTCTGCCCTTATCTCTAGTTTTGTTGAAGAGAAGACATAGGCATAATATGGAAAGCAGGGCGTTTTTGCTGGTTGAGTTAGGGTTCAAATCTTATTTAAGCCAAATGGAATAAGCCTTCCTATTTGATAGAAAACACATGGAAGTACCCAGCAAGCAGTAATTAGGAAAATAAAATGCTAAGCAACACACGGAGTCACAAAGCTGGAAGAGACCCTATGAGAATATTTAGTTCTGCCCCCAACTTTCAATGGGGAAAGGGTAAACGCATCTTCTATGGGTGTTCCATTTTCGGTAGGATTTATAACTGTATATCTTTCATCTTTTGTGTCCATTCACATGATATTTCAGCTAATGGTGGAATGTCTGGAATCACAAGACACCTGTCCCTAACAAAACATGGAGCACTTAGGATATTCCATGGAACGTTCCAGAAGGAACATATACATGAAGAAGTGAACAATATGAGTTGAATAGAAAATTTATGATAGGATTTTTTTACTGGTATGATTAATAAAATGGAAACAAATTATACCCCAAAAAAAAAAAAAAAAAGCTGAATATCTTTGACGCTAAGGTTGGCAGATCTATGTTTGCAACTGTAAAAGATTCCTTATCCTTTCTTCTTAGGAAAGAAAAGAAAAAGAAATATCTGGTCAACTCCAAAAAGAGACATCAGAAAAAACGCTGTCCAAGAGGTAAGATGAGGGAACAAGAGAAGGGTGGTGGCCGGTGCAAGCTCACGCAGGCCGTATAGGCCAAGTTCATGGAGGGTGGGGTGGGAGTGGATTTATTGTAAATGCAGTTCCAAGTAACTGAAGAGATCTAAGCAGTAAAGCGACTTGAGCTGATTTTAAATTTAACCAGACCAACTTGGCTGCTATGTAAGAATGAACAGGAGAGGGGCAAGAATCTTTCTGTTCAAATGGCAAATCACATTTCATAGGCAAGAGACGAAGAGTGACGGATTTCCTGTTTATATACACAAGAAGAACAGACATCTCTCTTTCCTACTAAAGGGAGAATTAAAAAAAAACAAAAACAACTTTGCTACTTTAAGATAAAAATGCAAAGACCTCACCCTAACCTTTTGGTTTTCCCAAGGCTAGGGAAACTGCAGTTGTCTGGTGTTTGAAACTAAGGATGTCTCAATTGGGTGTGCTTATGTGTAGCTTCACGAAAGACAGCTAGATTTGTTATGGTTGCTTCTGCATTCAATCAGTTGTGACATGTCATGTTGCTTGGTTTGAAGAACAGGAAGAAAATCCAGCATCACACAGATGTGTGGAAAAGGGAGGAGTATTTAACAACCTTGGAGATGTGTGGGTGTTCATCTTTAATTCGACAGGTGGGAATTTCTTAATGGGTAGATGTAATGTAGAGTCTGAAACCACATCAGTGAAATTGTCATACTCCGTTACAATCAACATCTTGCATTTTGAATGGATTGTTTACTCGTGCAAGATTTTATGATATCATGGACATTTGGAAAATACTGCTTCACTGAGTTTTATGGTGAGCTTGCAACTCAAGTCACACACCTATTTTTCTTAAGACATGTATGGTACTTTAAGATGTAACAGTACTCACGAATTTTTCACATGGGATATTAAAAACTTGTACTAATGGGTAGAAATTTAATAAAGTTAATCACTTTTACTGATTTGTCAAGAACATTCTGACATGAACCTGGATTTCTTATGGGAATTGAAGGATAGGATGACCCCTGCTGAAGTTTGAGACACTGCTCTGATTTGCGCTAAGGCACCAGCAATTTTACTTGCTGCTGCTTTTGTTATGTCTTTGCAAAGGCTGAAATAGTGAAAAGGACAAATAACATCTTAGTGTGAAGACAGTTTTGACCTCTCAGATCTCCTGGAAGGGTTTTAGGGACCATCCCTGAGGCTCACAGATCCTACTTGAGAGCCTCTGGCCCAGGGGCTCAGATGACTTCATCCCACTGGACACCATAGCTATCTCTATGAGTAGGGTAACCCCTATGACCAGACTTGCTCTGCTCCTCCCCCCAGAGACAGTTGTGGTGATGGGAGATGCACCAAGACTCATGGAGACTTGCCCTCTCAAAAGAGCAAGTCCTAGATCCTCCAGCCCTAGGTTCTGAAGTGTGCAGGGACCTCCCAGAGTCTCTGGGAGATTTCCCATGGGACTTCCCACCTGAAAGGAGCATTGGCTCTTTTTTTCAGAAATCAGCCATGAAACTTCAGAAATGAAGGAAGGAAAGAGGCCCCAGAAGACGCCCAGCACACCAAGGACCACGCATGGTAAAGGTTAGATGCTGCAGGTCCCAAGGTGCAGTCACCAGAAACCCAAAGTCAGAGCTGTTGTACTCTAAGCCAGTGTTTCCCAACCTTTTATTGTCATTGTCACTGCCCTAAGGAGCCCTTTTAGGATTTATTTCCTAGTCACGACCCCCCCCACCTGACACACACAGTAGTTCAATATCACTAATGCATTATATAACCATTTATGGACTCTGTGTGTATGTCTGTGTGTGGTGTGTGTGTGTGTGGTTGTATGACATTTTATAAGATTTTTTTCACACCTCCCCAACAACCAACTTTCACACGCCTGTGGGCAGTAGCGCTATTCCTGAGAATCTGCTCTGAGTGAGTATATCCCTCGTACTAAACATGCCCAGCCATGGATCAAGCATTTTCCCAGGATTCCGGTCTCCCTATCTGTCCTGTGACCTTTCTGGGAAGACTGGAAGAGAAACACTCATTATAAACACAACTGTAGGGCTATGACTGAGCACGGGTAACAACGTTGTGGTCACATTCCTACAGAGTGTGTGTGTGTGTGTGTGTTAATTTACCCTCACGTTCGCTAATTGTTCCCACTACTAGAGAGGAGCTAGTACCACCATCCTAAGAAGGACAAACAAAAGCCCAATGTTCTTCTCTTTGCTGGTGATGCTGTTATTATGTTACAAATGCACAGGTCTGTAGAATAATAACCATGATTCCCAATAGAATAGTATTGCTGGGAAGAATGGGTTAGATTTTACCACTTTTGGGCTGGTGGAGTGGCTCAAGTGGAAGAATGCTTGCCTAGCAAGAGTGAGTTCAACCCCCATTACCACCAAAAAAAAAGAGAAAGAAAGAAAAGAAATTACCATCTTAAAAAGCTTAATCACCATTTTTAACAGTTTCTTCTACATTGTACTGGTTTATGTAATAACATTTCAATCTATCTTATAGGCAGTTTCATTTTTTTCTCATAACAACCCTTGGAGAAGGTTGAAGGACTTCTTCCAGTTTTACAGATCAGGAAATTGAGACATTGAAAGGACTGATGGGTTCTTCCAAGAACCTGAGGTCCATGAGTGGCAGGCACGGTACCAGCGTCCTACCACTGTCGTTCTCCATGGGAAGAAAGAAATAGAAATACTATCACCAAACCTTTGTCAATTTACCAAGACTTACATTTTTTAAACAGTGAAAATTTTCAACATAGAAAATTTTCTATACTAGAAAAGCATTATGCCATAATCATTTGCAGTAGGTCGCTCTAATGAGTGACAGCAAACCCCACCCCACTCAAAACAAAAAACAGTGCTGAAATGAGAGCCTGTGCCTCCGTCCTGTATGGAGGTAGGTGGTCAAGGGTTGGTGTTGACCTAGGCTTCTTCTTACTTGTTGCTCCACCATCCTCTGCATGTGGCGTTCCTACCACTGGGGTACAGCCAGCAATTCTGTTTTCCATCCAAAGAGAAAGAGGCAAGGACAAAGAAGGACCTGCCCTCTCCATTCAAGGATGCTGTCCAAGTTGCATTTAGTGATTCTGCTACCATTTCATTGCCAGGACCATTTGCATGGCTATACTTGACTTTGGAAAAGGCTGGAAAATGTAGTCTAGAAGAACAAGTGTCCAGTTCAGAATCAGGGGCATTGTTAGAAAGGAGAAGAGGGGACAAGAGAGGGGGAACAGCTAGTAGCACTTGCTCAGCACAGTCTGTGCTGGGCACTGTGACTTCTCTCTACTTCCTGGTCCTCCTCCCCTTCTGGGACACTTGGAAACTTCCAGTGCCATTTCCCTGTGGGAGGCAGCTCCGTGATAGTGGCTCTGGTCAGTGAGCTGGAGTGATGGGTGTCACTTAGGGTCAGAGTACTTGAGAGCTATGGCTCTCCCTTACTAGGGAAGAGCATGGAATGGGGAGGCACCAAAAGGCCAAAGCGCATGGGTCACTACCAGAGAACAGCAGTCCTGGCTCTTTAGGGCACCAAAAGCATGTTATTTGCATTATAGAAAACGAACATTCACAGCACTCTGCATTTTTCTGACTATGCTCTGCATTCACTCCCTCTTCCCTTTCCCCCTTTCTTTCTTTATTCTTTTGCTTAAAACTATTTTTACCAAGGGCCCAAGTTGTGCCAGTCAATGAGGCATCTCTTGCATTGCATATGGGGCATGGGGCACTCTGGGAAGGACTTTCCCAAACGGCAGTCAGGGCCTGAACCTCCTGCTTTGGAAATTCCAGCTTCTTTGCTTGTCCCCAGCCTCCCTCCCCCCCCCCCCCCCCCCCCCCCCCCCCCCACTCTCTGCCACACACACACACACACACACACACACACACACACGTGTAAGGGTTTGGTGTGGGAGGAGACTTTCCTGCCCAGTCCACCACTCCATTACCTCCCTGGCTTGGACAAAACTTGCCTTCTGTCATTTGTTGAGTTTTCTCAAGGGAAACTTGACAATAAGACCACCAAGCATTTTTTTTTTTTTTTTTAGTATGTAAGGTAATTTTTGGAATTTAGAAATCCCCTTTTGCTCTCAGCAAATACTGTTTTTCAAGATTTTGTCTAAGGGTTAAAGGAGAAAAATAGAGGGGATGAATCAGTTCAGGTTATAATACATACAGACATGGAACTGTCACAATGAAACTCCTTGTATCGCTATCTTAAACAAAAATGTCTTTTTTAAAAAAACAGAGAATAGGGAGGCAAAACAGGTCCTGTCTGGGAGCTGGCACCAGTGGCAGGGTGGAGGACATAAGGAAAGGGTGTAGGAGGGTGAATATGGTGGAATAGTATGTACTCAGGTATGAAAATGAGACCTGTTTAAACTATTCCAGGAACGGGGTTTTGGTAGGGAAGAATAATGGAGGGGTGAATTCAACTATGATATATTGTAAGAACTTTGGTAAATGTCACAATGCACACAATACACAGTACAGCAATAATATGCCAAAAGAAAAAATGAATGAAGTGGAGGAAGAACGCAGAGCACTATCAAAAAAAAGATTTTATCTAAAGACTCCCAAAAGGTCTTAGCTGAGCAGTGACTTCTCAGTCCTAGGCAACATCTGCTTTACCTGGAACCCTGCTAACAGTTTCCCAGGGATCCCTGGGGCATTGTGATTTACAGGGAAGGAAAATCCATGCTCCTGACATTTTCAAAAATGCCTTACATTCAGTCATTCATCAAAGATGCATTAAGCTTAAGGTGTGTGCTGCACATGGACCAAAACAGACACAAATTCCTGCCCCTGGGTGGGGGCGGGGGGCTTGCATTCTAAATCGTGCCATGTGGTGGACAGACTGGCAAAAGGAGTTGAAGAGGAAAAGACAAAGGAAGATTGTGAGTTAGGAGACAAAAACTTGTTTTTAAAAGAAACCCAAAAAATGAAAGAAAAAAACAACCACAAAAGAAGCTATGAGTCTGGAGGAGGGTTAAAGGTGCACACAGAGCAGAGGGAAATGGGGCTGCGGGCAGGGGGTGTCGTTAATTAGGGAGGGAGGCCCCCTGAAAACTCTGACTTAAACTATTCACAAATCACTGTTTGGCTCAGAGGCAGCCTTACCTGGGCGTGGAATCCAAAAGAAGCTCCAGGTGGTGAGTCAGGGGACTCAAAGGAATGTGGTGAAAAGGGCCCGGAATATAAAGGCTGCATGTGCCAAGACATCCATGCCAAAAGGTAAGGCCAACCATGGAATCTGACATTTGGATGGCTCAGTGTGGGAGGGTGTGTCCTGGAGCAGGTATAGAGGTAGGTAGACATGTAAACTCAGTAGCAGAAGGAGGGAAAAGAACAGATGAGGGGAGCAAGGACCTGTCAGTGTGTGATGGCTGGTGGAAGAAGCAGGTGTGTTTTTTTGTCAGGGCGCAGGTGACCTGGGGTTGGCCTTGTGGGGTCACAAGACTGTTTTCTTTTTCTATTTTTATTAGTATATAATAGTTGTGCAGGGAGATATGTTGTAATATTTACATATATGTTTATAATATATCTTAGTTAGATTTACCCCCTGTCATCCCCCCTCCTTTCCCCTCCCCCTCCTCTGAGAACAATTTCAACAGGTTTCATTCTTCTGTTTTCATATATGAATACCCTCGCTCACCTTTCACTTTCCCTACCCCTGACCCACTGGTGCCCACCTCTAGAAAAGACCCGTCTCACCCTCCCGTTCTTCATTTTCTTTAAGGTGTGTATTGCTAGGCCAGGGGGCTTCAGGCCTGTATATGTCCTGCTTTAATCAGATTAACGCATTCCTTACTCTTTCTCTATCACCCTGCCCCGTTAGTCAACACTTACCGTGCATTGTTACACCATACTCATATGTAGATGATGTTTCTGTATTTTCATTCTCTAACATTCTTTCCCTCTTCCACCTTCCATAGTCCCTTCAGACAGACCCACTAAATCAGTCTTGCTCTCTCTCACTCTATACAAATGGTCATATATATATATATATATATATATATATATATATATTTAACTTATAGGTCCAGCTTTCACATATGAGGGAAAACATGCGACCTTTGACGTTTTGAGCCTGGCTTACATGATATTCTTTGGTTCCCTCCATTTACCTGCAAACAACATAATTTCATTTTTCTTTATGGCTGAATAAAACTCCATTGTGTCTGTACACCACATTTTCTTAACAGCCCTACTGTTTTCATTTGGACCAGGAGAGTCACCACTTCTCCCCAGAGTATGGGAGATTCCTTTTTGCTTCCTGTCAGCCCACTATTGCAAATGGCACCAGTCCTCTAAGTGGGCATTTTCTGGATTCTTCCTTAACGGTTCATTTCTACAGGTGAAATTGTTTGGTCAAAAAGTCTGCAGGTTTTAAACTAATACAAGTCAACATTCGAATTGCCCAAATTGTGTACATGTCTACACTAACCTGTGAACCCCTAGAACCACAGATGGTATGATAAACCACTATAAATAGTGAGGATTGAGAACTAGCACACCATTAGCTAGTCTATCTTTCGTAATTTATCTGTTTCTTACTAAATTGATCATTAGAATTTGTTTCTTTTGAGGATCATCTGTTTATACCCATTTTTATATAGAAACATTCTTTTTTGTCATTGAATCAGTTAGGAATATAACCTTAGGTTATATTATTGTAATAGTTCTTTGCTTTTGTCTTTGAACTTTTTGAGAAGCTTATGGTTGTGGAGACCTTCTCTATTGTTAAGATAGATGCTCATTGATCTCCAGCAGTATGACGTCTACAGAGTTTCTCAGCTAGCATCATTGATGTCCGGATAACATAACAGCGACCGTTCCGTATGTCCTCAGTATTTAGTGGAATCTCTGGTCTCTACCCACTAGATATCAGTACTGCCTGCCTCCCGCACCTGACAATCAAGACTTCCAACCTTTGTCACATGTCCCCTGTGGAGAACACTGTCCAGCATGCTTTATGCCACGTACTTCTTCCTTTAAAAGCCCTTTGTAGCCAGATGTGGTGTAGCATGACTGTAGTCCCAGCACAGGGGAGACTGAGGCAGGAAGACAGCAAGTTCAAGGCCAACCTAAGCTACATATTGAGACCCTATCTCAAAAAATAAAATTAGGGCTGAGGATATAGCTCAGCAATAGAGTGCTTTTCTGACATGCAGAAGGCCCTGGGTTTGATTCCCAGTACCACAAGTAATCAAAAAATGAAATAAAAGCCCTCTCTATGTAGTATTCATGTATCATACACACGCTTATTTACTTCTAGGGTTTTAACATATGTATGTGAAAATGTGGCTTCTGTAATGTTTTTACCCTTCCTATCAACACTTGCTTGTTGGTTTTTCTTAGATGATGCTGTAATTTTCCTTTCATAAGGACTTTCCAGGTTTTTCACAGTATAGGTCATTTGGTCACCAAATGCTTTCCCCTGCTTCCTCTCAGGTCTCTTCACCTGTGTCACCACACTCACACTCCTCCAAAACAAATCCCTCATCCTCCTCCCTCTCTGCCCCACATCCTCAGAACTCACCTTAAAAGGTCATGAGCACAGGGAAGCACTCTGTCCCAGCAGGCCAGGTGGGCCTCCCTGCCACACCCTCATGGAGCCCTGTAGTTTTTCTTCGTGGCACTTTTCAAAGCTGTACCTAGTTACCTGCGTGCCTCCTGTTTACTGTGTGAATGTCACATGAGGTCAGAAAATGGGTCAATCTTGCTCCTGGCTCTATGTCCAGCTCCTCTGGGCCTCACACAGTTTATGCTTAAGTAACTCGCATGTCAAAATGCTCTTCATCAACTATGAAGGCCAACGTTAGGCATCACAAAGCAGGTGTGTGAGCTCTCCCACACACCGCCTGCATCTGTCTGCTGCTCCTTGAACCAAGCCCGTTGCTGCCCTCTGCGGGAAGGCCGTTGTTCTAAGCAAGCTTACTTTCTGAATCAGAGCACCCCCTTAAGGGAGGAATCCCACAGAGGACATGTTACTATGCAGAGGCCCTGATAACAAGATAAGTAGGTACACGGGCAAAGCACTGTGTTTTACATCTTGTCATTTAATCCGCATTATCTTTACATTTTACAGATTCAAATAAAGGGTAAAAGACTTGCATAAGCTAAAATCAACCGTGGTGGTTCCTCTTCCGAGCCCTTTGTTCTTTACACTAAACAAGTAAACAAGCCTAGATGCTTCATAATTTTTTTTTCTTGAAATACCCAAGGAAGCCAGTCACTCGTGTGCTGTTATCTATCATGACATGGAGTCCCATTGAGACATTTCTGACGGCACAGGAAGAGCTAGACTAGGAGCAGGGTATGTCTGCATTCAGTGCCAGCTCCACTTCATGTATCGTGGTGACGGCCATTAATTCCTCCAATCTGAGCCTCAGTCCCATCTATAAAAGGAGGGTGACGGTTGCCCTCTCTTCCTTACACGTGATTGTGAGGGAGAATGATACAATGTGTACCGCTGTTGCTCTTTCCTTCTCCAGCTTCTCCAGCCACCCCATCTCACGCTCACACCATCAGACCCCTCAGTCTAGGTCACACAGCTCCCACACCATCCCTGGGCCTCTCCTCTTCTTGCGCACAATTTTCACCTTGTACGTTTTCCCTGTGCTCTGTAAGATTTCTGGGAATTAGACTTCTACTTGGTAATTGTTTTTTGTTTTTGTTTTTGTTTTTTTCCATTCTGCTTCACTTTGTCTCCATCATGCTTTCTCTTAATTTCCTCCTCTGTGCTTTCACTCATGAACTCTCTTTGTTCTTTAATTGCTTACCTACAGGTTCCTGGTTGTTTACTCCCACTCACTAATGTGATCTAAGTCAATTGCTTCTGTTAATCCCCCTTAGAAAATGTTCTGGCTGGTGCTGTTGACCCCAAACTGGCGTTCCTGGGCCGCAGGGTTCCATCCTTGAAGACCTGTCTGCTGAGATGTGTAGTTGAGGCCAGGCCAAACTCATCATGGTTGGGAACAGACAAGAAAGCTGTGTTTTGGGGGCAGATTGGGCGGCTTTGGAAGTCTTTAGGCCTAAAGGCACCCACTTGGTGACCTGGCTGAGCAGATGAAGGAAGGAGTGATGCTTATGCCACAAGTCTGCATGTTGGCTGCCACCAGAGCCACCTGCTGCTCTTTCATCTACTTGTGAGCACATCCAGGACATCTGTGCCCATTGGCATTACACTTACCATAGGAAGTTAGGGAAGATATTTCCATGGAGACAGAGAACTGGAGGGTCCCCAGGGTTGTGCTAATCACCCTCAGGGCTTATAAGGTGGTCACAGGTTACTCATAGTTCTGCCTTTCATCAGAGTTAGGAACTGGCAGCAGCAAATCTCCCACATGAACTGGATGACAGTACTGCACACTGGTAATCCTTCTAGGAAGGATCCTGAAAAGCCAAGATTACAAACCCTCAGCTCTGGCTCTCAGGGCCAGGCTCTCAGCTGCTGCACTGTAAGAATTTAAGTAGATCCTAGGGACAGGTTGGGGAGCTGGATCATCCATTGAGGGCACTGGCTCACTGTTAGAACAAAGTTCTTCCCACCCTCCACCGCATGCCTGTCCTTACTGCCAGCACCTGCTTCTCCATGGGTGGGCACCCTTTGGAGCTGTGTTGGAGAAACCATGCCCCTCTTCTCAGAGGCCCCTCCCTCATATCTTTCCAGAGTAATTAATGGCTTCTTTACCATTGACACTATTTTATTTTTACAACAACACTCTTGATTTTTGATACATTTCCCTTTGCCTTTTTTAATTAGTGTTTGAGGCAAGAGAAAAGAGTCGAACCAGATATTCTTCTTGACTCACTGTAGGTGTAACAGTCTCTCTAACTCAACATAAGACACAGACAGCCCTTTCCTCTTCTCTCTCTCCCCCAAAACAGGACACCTGCAATAATTTCACCCACAGTGAGATTGGAGGGGAAGGAAAGAGGAATTGCTGGTGTCTATTCTAAATCCTTTTGCAACTGCTTCTCCTGAGTCTAAACCCGAGATCCCTACTCTGAGGTCTGAGCACCCATATCTCTCCATTCATAATTTGCAGATTAATCTAGAACTTGCCAGAATTTTCTTTTATTACTAGAGGAAGAAATAAAGAAACAATAAAATGAAAAGTGCTAGCAATAATGAAGACTGACACCATCCCTCACTGCTTGACCTTCTCACTTCCCCGAGTCTTACTTTGAATCAGGAAATAAAATGATGACAGTGACTTTTTCTCTGGCTATAAGAACATAAATATTTGGTGTAGGCAACTTGCATCAGCACGGAAGACAAGCAGGCTGGCGTCTACTGCCAGAGAACACTAGGGGATGACCAATCAGCTTGCACATTAAATCATTCCATTGAAGCCTTGTGTGTTCCACTAGAAAGTTCTGTCTAATGTCGGGATGGAGATGGCTTGTTCACTGGACCTCTCTGCTCACATAGCTAATCTGACACTCAGAATGGAAGACTTCCTGTGGATTAACCAGAGGATCTGCTCCAGTACCACTTACGTTATATGTGTTCTGATTATTATTGGAATTCCTGGGAAGCAAGCAATTGAGAGGAAGAGCAAGTGAAGATTAAGTAACCACACTGTTTTCTTCTACTTTCAGGGAAGCCCAACAACGACACTGTGGATTTTCTCAGTCCTATACTTCCTGTGACCTGTGGTGAGGCAAAGGGGATTTTATATAAGGAGAAAATGAAACAAGGTGAGTTCCTTGGTCTTCTGCTCTGTGAATCCCTGCATAGAGGAAGGGCTAGAAGAGAAAAGAGTACCCATCTGTGTAACTGACCAGGAAATGGACCCTACTAGGCAGGCTGCAGAGAAAGAAATGCAACCCTTTCCATGTCATGGTGTGCCTGGAAACCAGGCCTCTACAGTCCCACATGAAGTCATCTGTTGATAAGTCCAGGCTGTAGAGTATCCTTCAGGCTAGGAGAAGAAGAACCCAACTCCCCTGCTGCCCCCCCAGGCATCTTCCTGAGCTAGGAAGATGGAGTGCCACAATTCAGAGCTTAGAGGTGTGGGATAAATTCACAGAGAGTCAAGATGAATCTTGGAGTAGAATGTCTTTTCCTTTTAGGATTCTCAGAGAAGTGCATTCAGAATGAGGAGGGAGTTTGGCTCACAATAAATGAGTTTACCGTTGAAGGGAAGAGGGCAAGCTCAAAATGCTGGAAGCGGAGTGTACGCTGTGGAGGACAGACCTTAAGACAACTGATAGAGGTATTCTAATGACCAGGGGCACAGTGGTGACAGTTTAAATCCTGGACAGGTGAGTGGAAGGTCAGAAGTGTGTGCCCATTGTGATTCAACAGGATAATTTAGAAAGAGCTAAATGTTCAGAGAAAAAAGTTTTGGGTGATGAGTTAAGAACATAGATTGAAGACCTGAAATACAAATAAAGTAGGTGAGAATTTTAAATTCATTTTGGGGTCAGGAGATATCTAAGAAGCTTAGCTTGAGTCAGGCACCAGTAGCAACATCTATAATCCTAGTTATTTAGGAGACTGACATCTGGAGGATCGAAGTTTGAGGTCAGCCTAGACAAATAGTTCGTGAGACCCCCATCTCCAAAATAATAAGAGCAAAATGAACCGGAGATGTGGCTCGAGTGTAGAGAGCCTGCTTTGCAAGTAAGAAGCCTTGAGTTCAAACCCCAGTCTCACCAAAAAGAAAAAAAAGAAGCTTAGCCTGGTGGTTTGGGGTAGCATGGCTGGGAGGCTTGGAAAAAGGAAGGCACAGAACCTGCAACAGCTTCCCTGTGTCCTCTACCCAATAAATACCTCTTGAGGCCCAGCTCATCTGGACTCTCTGTGATGTGTTTCCAGTCCACCCTGTCTGCGGTCAGTCTCTCCTCCGTACTTCTCTGGCAGTCTATTCCTGTCTTGTGACAACTTGGAGGGCACTAGTCCTTGTGATCCCAGGAGCCTAGCACAAAGCCTTTCAGTAATACTCAACTCTGATCACAGGGGTGAAACACTAAGAGGAGGAGATGGGAGGGAAGGAAGGCATGGGGGAAGGACTGGGAAAGCAGAGCTTGGTCTTACATTTAAGTAATGGAGACAGAAAACATTTTATCACCAAGAGAAATCCAAAAGAAGAACTGATGAGGGAAGGAGCTAGATTTTTTGTTTGTTTGTTTTGTTTTGTTTTAACACACTGGATTTGAGATCCAGTATGCTGTCCAGGAAGGGGGAACTTTGATAGTTATGTAAAAAAAAAAAAGCCAGAATAACCTCCTCTGTCAACTCCTTCTCTCTTTCAGGAGGGACTTTTGCTCTGTCCTCCAAAAATAAATCTCAAGACAAAGGTAACTAGCAGGTGAACTCCTACCATGCCCAAGGGCTTCCTGGCAGACTTTCTGGTTCTGAAGGCCTCCAGCCTCTGAGCGTCCAGCTCCAAGGTTCTTCCCTGTGGACAGAGCAACTTCTTCACAGCTGCATTCGCACATGGCTAGGTGCACACACCGCCATTGTTTTCACAGGTCATTCAAGATGGGAAAGTAAATAAGTATTTAAAATAAAAATTAGAATAAAAGCTGTTGATGGCCATGTGTTTTAGAAAAAGATCTGGATATGGGGATGAGTGCAAAGCACAGGTGTCAGAAACAGAATGCTCTAGTTTGAAAAGCAAATACAAGATTGAAAGGGACAAGAAAAGTCTGAAAGGACAGGAGGACCACCCTTGATTGAACACCAAGTACCGCTCAGTGCTGCACACTTCCGTCACTAGCAGTGCAATGGAAATGAATTTGGTCTCTGTAGAGCCTTCCTCCAGTGTGAGCATCCATTGACTTCACTTCTCTTTCTCAAGCTGCTTTATGCCTTGGACAAGCTCTCAGGCTGGGTACCACTCATGATCTGCCCATTGGGTGTGAACTTCCAGCATAGGTGTGTCTCCTACGTTGCCAGGGAGAGCCACCTGACCCTCAGCTGCATGCATTCAAAGTTTAAAGCAATGGTCTCCCCCACCCCACGCCGTTTATTTCATAAACAATCTTTTCTATGCTTATATAAAATACCTTGAAATTAGGGATTCTCAGTATCGCATTATAATCACGTTCTATCTACAAAATAAAATAAGCAGATATATTAACAGAGCAACTTTTTAAAAAATACATGGATTCTTACAGACTGCTATGGTTTGAATATTCCCACCAAAAGTGATGTCCACATTTAATCTCCTGTGTGATTTAGTAAGAGAGTGGAAACTTAATCCAACTATGGCATTTGGAGGTGGGGCTTTTAGGAGGTAACTAAGGTTAAATGAGCCACAGAGGTGGGGTCCTCATCCAGGGTGACTGTGGCTCTGTGAGACGGTCTTGCCCTGTGATGCCCTCATCTGCCTTGGAACTCAGCAGATGAGGCCACCGAAAGCTGAGTTTTCAAGCCTTTAGTGCTGTGAACAGAATAAACCTTTGTTCCTTACAGGTTTCTCAGTCTATGATGTTTAAGTTGTAGCAAAGCAGATGTACTAAGACAGGCATGGCTCTTCAGTCAATGGAAAGCCACCAAAAAAAGGCTTTAGGTCAGGAGAACTTCAGGAAGCTCACATGGCAGTGATGTGTGTGGAAGGAGCTCAGCTCAGTTTACGTGACTATATAGGCCTATGACTGAAAAAATATCTAAAAGAATCAACAGTGGTTATTCTGGGATAGGATTACTTCTGTACTTAGGCGTAGTCAGAATTTTTATAATTATTACTTTTGTAGCCAGAATAAAATAAAGGTCTTTAAAATCCAGAACATTAGTTAATAGGATCAATGTCACAATATCTTCTAACCCTTACAATGCCACATGACAGTACAGGAGGACCACTTGATCCGGCCTCCTCGTCCCACCTGCTGGGGACCCCAACAGGATCAGGAGAATGAAGGCTGGTTCTGACCAGCAGTGGACTAAGGCAGGCCTTTCCCCCAGCCTTGCTGGCCAGCACATGGTGCTGTCCTGCAGTGCACCCTGTGTCAGTGGGGTCAGCTCTGAGTATGTGAATAGCAAGGAGGCCTGACCCTGCATTTCTGTGACTGTATTGTGAGGTGCTGCTCTCATGAACCAAGGAATGATGGGCACCCGGGGCCTGGGAGCCTCCATCTCCAGAAGAACCTGCGTGTGGCAGGTGCTGCTCCCAGTGGCCCATGGTGTGGAGCTGAGAACATTTGGGAGTGGGGGGAAAGGGAGAAGTACCAGAATCCATGACCAATGCAGTAGTCCAGAGACCCAGAGGGCATGACAGGAGGCTGCTACAGAGAATGAGTCCCTGGGGGCCCTGATGGAGCAGTCTGACTCAGATTCATGCTTTGTCCCTACGTGAGCCATCACCTAATGGGCCCACATATTACATGGGTTACCAGTCTTTCCCTGAGTGCTCCATACAAGAGAGACCAACCAATGGCCACAGATTAGCATTCACACCTTTGAGCCTAGGGTCACTCATGGATTATGCTATAATCCAGACACACAACTAATAATTGAGACTTGCAAATAAATCTGTACTGACACATGGCTACTATAAAGAAAGGCCCAACCCCATGCTCCTGTGCCTAAAGGAAAGTGACAACATCTGATTTGATCATTTCAGTCTACTAACAGAGGGCTAGTGGAGTGGCTCAAGTGGTAGAGCACCTGCCTAGCAAGCATGAGGCCCTGAGTTCAAATCCCAGTACCACCAAAAAATCCCAGTGAATACAAAGTATCTTATTTGGATGTGAAGGTGATCTGGGTGCAACATTTGTCACCCCATTGATCACCAGTGTTGATTCGGCTGATCTGGCTGGCTAGGTGGGTGTCTCCTTCCTCCCTCATCACTCCATGTGCGTCCCTCCTGAAGCTGCGTGCTCAGTCGAAAAGGATGACCTTCCCCGATAGAGGAGGATGGTTCTTCAGTCTTCAGTCAAGGATATACGAATAGCTGCGCTCCCCTGCTAGAACCTCCAAACAAGCTCTCAATCTACTAACAGAGGCGTGCTACAATCCAGTAAAGCAGCACAGCCAGCTAGCAAGCCAGGGCCAGGTGGGGAGGTCACTGCCTACGGTCCCTGCTTGGGCACACACTGTCTGCTGGTGGCTCACCTGGAAGGTTAGGACCAACCTCTACCGTAACCAAAAATTGAGTTCAGATATCCAAACTGAGGTTGCAACACACACACCAAAAAAAGTGTGCTAAGATATTTTACTTGGTAAAGTTTTCTGGGGAAAGTAGGACAGGCACCCAGCAAGTCAGAAAATGGCTTCAGGGTTTTATTGTGGTCAGGTTGGGGGCAAGGTAAGGCTTCCCTGGTTGGGGTTACAGCTGGCCTGGTTTGTTCTTAGCAAGGGGCCAAGGACAGACATAAGCATGCTTATTGAACTTGCCCAGATGCAGGGGAGCAGGGGAAGAGGCAAGGATGAGCCTTAAAGCTGTTGGCACTCAAACATAAAAACGCAGGCACAGTTTCTGTACAGAACAGGGTTGGGTGTCCTTTCTCTATCACGTCACTGTGTTGGAAACTGTCCCACTCCAGAGCATGGTGGGACCCAGGGCTCTGCACCTAAGCAGGGTTTCAATAGCAGGGTGTGGGTAGGTCTGGGAAAGCTGGGAAGCTGCACATGCCCCTGGGCCAGGGCAGGTGTCCAGTCAGAGGACGATGAGACACAGGGGTCAAACCCAAGGGAAAAGGGAGGCAGATTGGTGAGTCAGAAAGATCTCCATCTTTGGGGTCTGGGGAGCCCCCTTTATGAAGTCCTAGGGCCCAGTAGGAGCAGGCAGCAGTTTGGGAATTTCCCCCAGCTAAGACAGAGAAAAGCCCCATCTGGGGGGAATGTTACTGGTCTCAGTGGTTAGTTTGGGAAACAGGCAAATGCTTCCACCCTCAGGCTCTTGCCCAGGTCCTGCTGCTTATATGGTAGGCAGCTGAGGACAGTGACGCTTCTCTCCTTAGGTGGAGCTGTCTCCCATCCCCTCTAATCGCTTCTGCAACTCCACAGCCTACTTCCTGCCTTTTCCCCCTGTGGAGGGCAACAGCACCACAGACACAGGAAGAGGGAATCCCTTCCTGACTGTCTTCAATGTAGGGATGCATTGCTTTGTGTGAGGGGAGCCCCCCACCATCTTGGGGAAACAAGAAAGAGCCACCTGTGGGACCGTATCTGATAGCAAAGACTTTGATTCTCATAAATATTACATGTAGAATTTACTGGATCACATTTTAAGGCCACAAGAAAAAAGCACGTGGTTTCTCAGGCCCACAAAATGGTCCTATTATACAGCAGCTTCCTGTCTTTCTGCTGTCATTACCAGGGACAATTCTGGGCATTAGGCACTGGCTAATGGGTACCCAGGCATGTGGCTCAGACACTAAGTCACTTTGACTCTGCAGAAAAAAAATAAATCATTTCATCTCTTCAGACCTATAAAAGGAGGGACTTGCTTAAAGCTGCGTTTTCTCAAATTTATGTTCTTAGAAACCAGCTAGATCCTGTGAAAAATGCAGGACCCTCACACCCCTTCAGCAGCTGCAATTTGTCAGCAGCTCCCAGTGCCTTCTGGCTGTGCAGTCTGGGTTCCGAGGGTCCATGATGACTCTTTTTTTTTTTTTTATTCATATGTTGCATACAATGTTTGGGTCATTTCTCCCCCCTTCCCCAACCCCCTCCATTACCACCTCCCCGTGCCCCCTCCCGCTCCCCCCACCCCCTTGATACCTGGCAGAAACTATTTTGCCCTTATCTCTAATTTTGTTGAAGAGAGAGTATAAGCAGTAATAGGAAGGAACAAGGGTTTTTGCTGGTTGAGATAAGGATAACTATACAGGGAGTTGACTCCCATTAATTTCCTGTGCGTATATGTTACCTTCTAGGTTAATTCTTCTTAATCTCACCTTTTCTATAGTTCCTGGTCCCCTTCTCCTATTGGCCTTAGTTGCTTTTAAGGTATCTGCTTTAGTTTCTCTGTGTTAAGGGCAACAAATGCTATCTACTTTTTTAGGTGTCTTACCTATCCTCATATCTCCCTTCTATGTTCTCATTTTTATCATGTGATCAAAGTCCAGTCCCCTTGTTGTGTTTGCCCTTGATCTAATGTCCAAATATGAGGGAGAACATACAATTTTTGGTCTGCTGGGCCAGGCTAACCTCACTCAGAATGATGTTCTCCAATTCCATCCATTTACCAGCGAATGATAAAATTTAGTTCTTCTTCATGGCTGCATAAAATTCCATTGTGTATAGATACCACATTTTCTTAATCCATTCATCAGTGGTGGGGCATCTTGGCTGTTTCCATAACTTGGCTATTGTGAATAGTGCCACAATAAACATGGGTGTGCAGGTGCCTCTGGAGTAACCTGTGTCCCAGTCTTTTCGGTATATCCCCAAGAGTGCTATTGCTGGATCAAATGGTAGATCAATGTCCAAATTTTTAAGTAGCCTCCAAATTTTTTTCCAGAGTGGTTGTACTAGTCTACATTCCCACCAACAGTGTAAGAGGGTTCCTTTTTCCCCGCATCCTCGCCAACACCT